CCACCCACACCTACTCAACTCCTCTTTCTAACTACCACGCGCCATTATAAATGGTTTGATTTGCACGACATTTAATTTTTATTTTTTATTTTGGGAAAATCTCATAATGGTCCTTCATCTTAACATTTAGTCGCATTTTACTCCATCATGTCTTAAATTGCCTCAATTTCATCCTCCGTTTTTGTAATCTGTCTTATTATCATCCATCGGTGTATAAACTTGTTAGCTTTAAGGGAATCGTTTTAAGAACGGATGAAATAATCCATTGCTATAATTATTTTTGATAAATTATGATTTTTTTTCAATAAATAATAAATTTTGTAATTTAAAAATAATACTTGCAACCAATAAAATGTAACCCTAAAAAAAACTATTTTTATGAAATATTCATTTATATTAATATAAAAAGAATCATTCTTTTTGTGTGGATATGACTTGAATTTAGAAACGTGTTTAAATAATTATATTATGTCATTTACATATATTATATATTGAAAATTTAATTATATTTTTTTATAATCGTATGTGTTCATATTTAAAGAACTAGTTCAATTATATATGTTTCACTAATATTTACTAATTTATTTACAATTTATTATAAATAATTATAAGAATATAATATTATATCCAATAAATAAAAGATCCCGTTAAAGTTAACTATATTGAGATAATTTGTAGAGTTCAAGGATGACACTAAGACAATAGAGACATGAAAGGACTAAAGTAAGACTAAGTACTAAAATGAGGGATTATTAGTGAGAGTTGACCTTTTATTTTTTTAATAACGTAATCAAGCCAATGTCTCAATCTCATACAATATTAAATAATGTCGAAGGAGGATGAGCGGATCTGAACTAATGTCGGCGTCGGCGGGGGCTGAACATGCACGGAAGAAGATGGTTTGACGGAAAGAAGAAACTCAATTCAGTTTTTTTTTTCTTTTTCTTTTTTAATAGTTGCAAAATAAAGAAATACAATATTAAATACATAACCCTTAAAACATACATAGCAAAAATAAAATAATAATTACACCTATATTCTTTTCTAACTCAAAACAATATTAAATTTCATTTTTTGCCCTGAAATAGTTTTTTCGGTTAGTTGCTGATTCCCATTTGATGGAATGGACGAAAAGTGTACAAAATAGAAACTTAGAGGTAAACTTTGTTCACTTTGAAACAAGAAGGGCCGAAAATAGAATAAGACCAAACATGAGAGACTAAAAGTATAATTCTCCGGTTATGCAACGTGCATTTATGGGGGAAAAAGTTAAAAAGAGTTTGGACAATGAACGCGTCTCGAAGCGCGTGGGAATTGGGAGCGTGGAGGGAGCGAAAAGCGGAGATGCCCGAGAGAGAAAGATAACAGTGGCCCGCAATTCGTGCGGTTCTTCTCTTTCTTTATGAGAAACGATGCACCGACTCACTGCTCTGTCACGTGCTCACGTGACTCCTTAATCACATATTCTCTTCATTGTTTTCTTTTAATTATATTAATAAAACAAGTAGCTTTTGTTTTATATTCTTTTTCTCTGCAATGTCTATTAGTTTAAGTGGTAATTTATTTTTTTTAATTAAAATCCCTCTTCCTTCTCGAGTGCAAGTATCTACTATAATTAAGTCTCGTTCGATTGGGAAGATTAATCATTATTTAAATAATTAGACTTTATTTAATATTCGCATTTCTAATAACTTCTTGGTGCGACCAGTAAATATTATTTAAATTATAAATTATCTTGTTTTACTTTAGCTTTGGGGAGTTTTTTGTTGAATGTTTCGGAGTTCGATAAAATAAATGAGTTTTCACTAGATTATTTTATTTTATCTGGTTAATCTTATCTTGTCAATCAAACGATGTCTTAGTAAATTAAGAGAAGGTCTACGAGAATTTGCACCTGATGTAACACGTTGGGTGGTTTTGAACCATACAACTATATGAATAACTATTTACTAAGAACACAAACACATATGTGTGTGTTATGTGTGTAGATGAATGGTTTAAGATCACGGATATATTTCACCGTGTTTAGCGTCTACAAAACCACTAAGAGCTCGATATTTGAATTGAGTTTAATTAATTTTTCTAATATTTTTAGGTTGAGTTCATCGTACATTATTTGTCCAATATATTTAATGTACATGGTGTTCGTAGTTTGCAGGAAATTGGAAAGATTTGTGTATTTTAATTTAGACATGTTAAATGATATTTTCTACATTAAATAATTGACTAAAATATACTCGTATCCATAATTCAGGTATTCGGGCTTAATTCAGATAATTACGGTCACTCGATTAAGATAAGATTAAATTATAGAAAAAGTCCTTGTTTGCGTAATTATAACCACTCATCGTCTATGAATCTTCTTATACGTTCATTCTTACGGTGTCAAATTTAGTGAAATCTTGTAGATTATGTGGAATACTCTCCAGATTGTACCTGTTTTATCCCATTCAAACTTCCGATTTTGAAACAAGATGATCATAAGATGTGTTAATTGACTTATAAATATCAAACTGTCCTATATCAAAAATTGTATTTTTGCATAAAACGAGTACAAACTAGAGAACATTCCACATAATCTAGAAGATTATGTCGACTTTAACACCCAATAAATAGACATATAAAAAGATTTATAATTAATAGTGAATGTAGAATTATTGAATTTTTGGTAATTTGACCTACCTAGAGGGTGTGACGTAATTTACCCTTTTAAATAATTAAGGCCGTACAAAAAAATTAATAATTATCATTAGTCCCAAAGTCTTTCCAACTGACATTTTTATGTGGTGCTAATTAATTTTATATTTTTTAATTAATATTAAATTAAAATTATTTTTATTTTATAATGAGGTCAGGTTGCCTGCTACTTGCTTTTTTGACTGGTAAAGATTCTGTTTGCCCGGTCAAATCCCTCAGTAATATTTATATTTATATTCTCTTTGTCCTTAGATAAGTTAAATCCTTATTTGGCAAATTATTAAATAAAATCAGACAAGAGTAAAGCCAACCAGTTTGTACATATTTAAATTAGTGAATGTCAGGAGATAAGCAATTTTCAGAACTAATATTAATTAATTATATAATTTGAAGCAAGTTTGTATTCAGTTAGATAATAGTAATTTCAGTGCGCATGGATATAACTCAACTGATTTTGAAGGGTAATAAGTTGGTGTAAATTCTTAGGATCGGCTGTGTGAAAATTTTAAGTTCAAAGAAAGTTTTTTTCTTGAGGGCACCAGACCCGGATCGAATGCGCTAAGGGGACGTTGAAGAATCATTATAATTTATATTTGCTCTATCAAATAATTGCCGAGTCAGGGAATGGGGGCCTAAGGACGAAAGATTTCACCTTTTGATGCAAGATTATACTAATTTCATTGATATCAATGAATTGTCCAAATTACATTTTTTTTTATTAAACATATACAAATTATTGGTAAATGACGGGTAACCCTGACAAAATATTATGTTTACCTCCTCTGCGAGTATATTACATTAACCACCCTAGGCGTTAGATTTGAAATTTCAGAACCAGTATTACGTGAAATCTTTAAGATTGCGTTACTCAAAACTCCGTAAGAGTCTAACTGTAAGATGGGAAAATAACTCAATGGTGCATTTGTAATTACCATAACCACAAGGACTTGTAAGTTATTTACTCTTACTTCAAAGGGTGTCAGTAATTTACCCTAAAAAATTTAATTGGTGAACGTTCATCAAACTAAATATATGTGTCTCTTGTTTGCTAATTGTTTTTTATAACTAAATTTGTTAGTTAATTTCCCAAATTATTTATCATGTCAAACAAAATTAGTAAAAGGTGAACCTAATTCATATTACTACCAATAATTTTAGTATTAAATATCACTTAATAGTTAATACATCTTCAATTTTATCTCGTACTACTAAAAGGATGACAAGTCATTCATATATACACATTTAATTACGAAAATGTTAGGCTAAAAAGCATCTCACCACAATGTATAATAATTTACATTAAGTGGTTTTGTATGCAAATTAATTAACCTTGTGGCCCAAGATCAAAAGTAGCATAAAAATAAACAACAAAAGATGCTAATTATTTGTTAAAACTTTCCTAAAGTGTTATTATTGATCAAAGTGGTAGCTTTCTTTGATGTATCATATGATGATTATGTGAAAAGAGGATATACTTATAATTGTTTTTTGGGAATTTTTTTTTTTTTTTTTTTTTTGCATAAAGTAACACAAAAACGAGTGAATACAACAACATAAATCAAACTCTAGGGACGAGTTCGATCGTTGGTAGTAAATTTCCGTCGAAGCAACAAAAGTAGTAACGCTGAGAATACGAAGCATGGGAAAGAAAAGAAAAGGACACTTGAGCAACGAAATATACAATAGTTAATTTAGACTATAAATTGTGTGGGCTAATTAATAGTAAAAATTGGGTGGGCTACATAAAAAAATATGATATTATTCAGTACAAATTGAAACATACAATATATTTAGTTAAGTTATATAATTAGGTTAAATTACAACAACCATCTGAAATGATGTTAAAATTATAAAATTACGCCTCATGTTTGGATAATTACAACCACCTCACTCAACTATGAATTTTCTTACACGTTCATTCTTGCGGTGTCAAATGTAGTAGAATTTTCTAGATTATATGCAATATTCTTTCGTTTCTACCCACTTTATCTCATTCGAACTCTACATTTTGAAACAAGATGACCATAAAATGTGTCTCTTGACTTAGAAATATCAGATTGTGGTGCATCAAAAAATGCATTTTTGTTTTAGAGAACATTTCACGAAACGTAGAAGATTCTGTTAAATTTGACATCATATGGGTGGACGGATGTGTAAGAAAATTTATAATTGATTGGGTGATTGTAATTACCCAAACATGAAGATTTTTTTTCGTAGTTTACCTTACCTGAGGAGATAATTCATCCTCTAACATTCTCATACATATGCATATGAACGAATATATGTAAAAACGAGGTTTTGTAGAACATACACCTTATGAAATACATTATGTAGTTTTACGCTATTGATTTACAGATAATAACACACACACACCTATGTGTACGTGTGCTTTCTGGGGTTATTTATATAAGTCTACTGTTTAAAATCCTATGGTTTATTTCACCAGGTATAGAAGATCTCATAAGCCATAAAAACGATATTAGATTATATATACGCATGTAGAGTCGAATACACCCCGAATTTTCATAAGCATAAAAACGGACAAAACAAAACGTACACAAGAAGGGCAAAAAGGTAATTTGGAATTGGGGCCACGCCATCCTCTTTTTCCTTCCTAACCTTTCTCCCGCTGTCTGCTGGTGCTTTGATAAGAAGGATTGAAAAAAGCTATAAAGAAACACACACACACACTACACACACTACACACACACACTACACACACATCAATGAAATAAAACAAAACACAAACCCTCAACAATTCACACACACACACACACACACTGACACACACTCATACGCACGCACTTTCACTCCCCCTCTGTACTATTCCTTCCCCCAAGTAATTGGTAATTAAAATCACCCCCACACATAGTGCTTCAAAGTGTGTGTGTGTGTGTGAGAGAGAGAGAGAGAGAGAGAGTTTGAAGAAAGAGATGAAGCTAGAAAAAAAAATCACCCCTCTTCACTCTCCATCTCTGTGGTTGATATTTTGACAATTATCTTTAAAAAAAAAACACAAAGTTTTAATCTTTTTACTATTATATAGCTTGCTTCTCAGTTATTAGCCGTGGGATTAACTCTTTTGTAAAGCAAGAGAGAGAAAGAAGAGAGAGAAAGAGAGAATGGTGGGCTCAGGAGGAACAGACAGAAGCAAAGAAGCAGTTGGGATGATGGCCCTTCACGAGGCCCTTAGAACCGTTTGTCTCAATTCCGACTGGACTTACTCTGTTTTCTGGACCATTCGTCCTCGTCCGTATGTCTCTCTCTCTCTCTCTCTCTCTCTCTCTCTCTCTCTCTCTACTTTCTCTCTCTACTTCCAGTTTTTTGTTTTCTTGATTTTAAAGGTGGAATCTTGATCTGGGTTTTCGTTTTCTTGATCTTTTGATGATGAATCTAAAAGGACTTTTTTTTTTTTTTTTTTTTTGGCAGGAGGGTTAGAGGTGGCAATGGTTGCAAAGTTGGAGACGACAATGGCAGCTTGTGAGTAATTAATTTAAATTTAAATTAAATTTAAATTGCAAAAAAAAAAAAAAACATTTCTTGAAATGAGACAAAGAAAAAGAATCTCTTTTTTTTTTGGTTCTTGTGATATATATTGATTTAAGGATAGTGAGTGACAGGTTGTGGTGATTCAGAGGTTTTATTTTCTTTTTGTCTTTTCTAATTTATTATTATTATCATTATTATTATTTAAAAAAAATAATAAAAAAAAAATTAATTTTGGGTGTTATGTGGTGCAGAATGTTGATGTGGGAAGATGGGTTCTGCAGAGGGAGATCAGTAGCAGATTGTTTAGATCATCATCATCATCAAGAGATGGACGGTGAGGATCTTGTCAGGAAATCCTTCAGCAAAATGTCTATTCAGCTGTATAACTATGGAGAAGGGTGGGTACTGGGTAGGTCCTTTTTTTCAATTCGGGTCTAAATTAATCGAGTCGAGTCGAATCCAAAAAAAAAAAAAAAAAAAAAAACCCGATATTTTTATCGAATTTTCAAATTTGTGTGTTTAAATCTTGAAAGATAAGCAACTTAATCGACTCTGAACATGAATCGAACTCGAACAGTCAGAAATCGAGTATTGAATAATTTGATTTGATTTGATATTTGGGAATTAGTTATTATTAATTAATTAAATTAATGGGATGCAGATTGATGGGGAAGGTTGCTTCAGATAAATGCCATAAATGGGTGTTCAAGGAGCCAACTGAGTGTGAGCCAAACATTTCCAACTACTGGCAGAGTTCATTTGATGCTGTATGTCCAATTTTTTATTATTATTATTATTTATTTTTTACCTTAATTGATTGTGATTAACCACCACATTTTAAATTGATTTTTGACCTAATTAATTACTTTTTAAAAATACAAAATAAAGTGAAATAGACAATACTTGTTTGTACTAATTCTGGTAGGGGTAGGGGTGTAAATAAGTTAAACGGATCGACAAAAGCTCGAGTCTGACCTTAGTTGTTGATAAGCACATGGGAAGGCTTGTGAGCTTTTTATATATCTATATATGGGGAAATTACAATTTTCATCCCTTAAATTTGCAACGATTTCGCATTTGGTCCCTCATGTTTACAAAAAACACATTTGGTCCCTCATGTTTCAATAATTTAACATTTTTGATCATTTCCGTCAATTTATTGTTAGTCCGTTAGTTAACGCAGTGATGGGCACACGCTTCATTCCGTTAGTTTAAATGGGAAATTACTAAAAGTGTTGAATTTTTGCAATATAAGTGACCAAATGTGTTTTTTGTGAACATGGGGACCAAATGTGAAATCGGTGCAAACTTGAGGTACCAAAGCTATATTTTTCACTAGGCAAAAATACAGTTTTAGTCCCTCGCATTAGCATCGATTTCACATTTGGTCCCTCATGTTCATAAAAAACACATTTGGTCCATCATGTTGCAATGATTCAACATTTTTAGTCATTCCCGTCAATTTTCCGTTATAACTAACGGAATCAAGCCTATGCCCATCAATGACTTGGCTGACAGACTAACGGTAAATTGACGGAAATGACAAAAACGTTAAATTGTTGAAATATGAGGGACTAAATCTAATTTTTTGGGAACATAAGGGAGCAAATATGAAATCGGTGCAAACTTAAGGAATGAAAAATGTAATTTTGCCATACTTTTTTAATATATATATAATAATAAATACATACAAAAAAATATAAAATAAATATTAGTGTAACTTTTTTAGTATCTTATAAGTAATTAAATAATAAATAACATTAAGATTATGTAATAAAATGAAATGAACCCGAACTCGACAAGCTCGATTCGATTCAAGATCGAGCTCGAATTGGAGCTCCTAAACTGGAAACTCAATGAGCTTGAGCTAGAGTTCGAATTCGCTAAATATGACAGCTCGAAAAATATGGCGAACTCGACTCGTTTACACACACTAGAAGGTGGGAAATTATAGTGGACTTTATGTCTCAATAATTGTTGTCATAAATTAAAACTAACTATTGGATTGAAATGATTGAATGAATGAATGATTGATTGATGTAAGTAAAAAAAGACCAATTCTTTGATTTTTTTTAATTTCTTTTTGCATTAATTGCAGCTACCTCAAGAGTGGACTGAGCAGTTTGAGTCAGGCATTCAGGTCTGTTTCACCACTTCTTACAACTGTTTGTTCCTTTGTTTTTATTTTATTTTCTTTGAAAAAAACAAAATACATTTATTAACAATTAATTGCTTTATTTATTCATTTATTATTATTGACCAGACTATAGCTGTTATTCAAGCTGGACATGGCCTTCTGCAGCTTGGTTCTTGCAAGATTGTGAGTTCCCCTTTCCTATATAATTCCAATTTTATTTTGACAAAATTAATTAAAAATTTATACCAATTTGAATTACTAGATTGAATTCTAATCCCTCCATCCCAATTTATTTATCAATTTGGAGTAATTTTTTTTTTCAAATTACTTATCACTTTAGAATTTCAATGATACATTAATTGCATTATTTTTACAATTTTGTCTTTCATCATCTCTTAATTAATTGAAAGAGTATTTTGGTAAATTTTATATTTTTACTTTAATCCATGCATATGTATTTGTGCGCAATAAGCCAAAACAACATATTTTACACGAATTTTGCCCTTTATCTTCTCTTAATTATTTGAAAGACCATTAGTTGAGAATCAGTCCGTCAATGACAAGGGTATTTTAGTAATTTTCTATACTTCTTCTTGTACCTGAATCCATGCATATTTATTTGTGTGCGATAAGCCAAAACGACATATTATACGCGAATTTTTGTTCGCTGACGAACAATCTTGATTTTTTTTTTAAATAAAACAGATACCAGAAGATCTGCATTTTGTGTTGAGAATGAGACACACGTTCGAGTCATTAGGCTATCAATCCGGATTCTACCTATCCCAACTATTCTCCTCCACCCGAACCAACACCTCGTCACCTTCCGCACTCCCCCTAAAGCAACCGCCCCCATCGCTCCCCCTCCGGGGGCAGCCGCCCCCGCCCCTCTTCAACTGGGGGCCGAGGCAAGCGTCCCCCTCGGCGGGGCCCACGATGCTCTCGCCGAATTTCCAACAACACTCCTCGTCATCAAGACTCATCGGAAAAGACCACGAAGCCGCCGCGGCCGCCACCGCCGCACACATGTTCCTCATGCCCCACCACTCCACCGAAGACCACCACCACCACCACCACAACCACAACAACAACAATAATTATGAAAACGACATCAAGTGGCCCAATGGGTTGTCGTTCTTCAGCGCACTAACGGGCCGGGCCGACGAGGCGAAGCTACTGTTCAACCCGGACGGGAAAACGGATACGGGCCAGGATATGCATGGCGGCGGGTCGGAGGATCCGAATCACGAGTTCTTGAGCTTGGATGGGAAGATGCATCAGGAGGGGAAGTACAAGAGGAGCTTCACTTTGCCCGCGAGAATGGCGACTTCTTCTTCTTCGTCTTCGCTCAACCATCAGGGGCATAATAGTAATAACAATAACAATAACAAGAATAATAATAATCAGGGGGAGTACAGGAATGATTCGGGGATGTACAACGATGTTATGGAGAATTTCTTGGAGTGAATTTTTTAATTTGGTGAGTTTTAGAGGGTCTTCTTTTAATTTTATTTAAGTGTTTTTTTCTGTAATTTTGTTGTTGTTTCTTTGATATCTAAAACACTCTCTGCAATATTATTATTAGTTATAGACTTCAGGTTTCTTTGATATGCTCACTTTTTTTTAATCAATGTTATTAATTTTTATAATTATATATTATTTTATTTTAAATAAAAAATAAAAAGAGATATTATATCTATTACTTATATCTAAAATAGAAGTAAAAAGAAAAGTCGTAAGTCGTGTTTCATGAGCTCATAAAAAACTAGAAATGAGCTTAAGCTCGACTCGACCTATCGAAAGAAAATAGAATCGAAAATTACGGCAACTAGCTAGACATTCCTTCTAAAGGGCTATCAAATATTTGCTATTTTTGGTTGTTTATTGCGGTCTATTCTATGCTTCACCGTTTTTTGGTTGTTTATTGCCGTCATGCTTCGCCGGGTAAAATAACTGTTTATTGCAGACTCGCAGTTACTGCTAATTTTTCCTTTCTTCCTGCAAAAAAAAGTTAAAATAAACTAATAATAATAAAATAAAATATTTTTGAATATTGAGGAAAAAATTGGTCAAAGTGCAGCCTCTAATAATATGTATTTTTCTTCTAATAACATAGATTATGAGAAGAAAAAAAAATTCATAATCTATTTATAAAAACTTTTGCAAGCAGTACCTTATTATTTGGAGGGAGAAATATGTAACTTACCCTACTATCTAAAAAAAATACTATGAAATAAAATGCCACGCCCGACTATACTCGACGGACCGGGCCGAGTATAATA